GACTCATATGCTTTCCTTGGCATTTTTCTGTACCTTTAGCTCCAGATCCCATGCTTTTGAGAGTACATCTCTCTCCTTATTTCTTTGTTCCGGAAATTCCAATTTTGGAATATAGGTGGTGAGATTAAAGAATCACAGGTTCAGGTTAGAGGACACTGGTTTTATGCCCAACACCTGTCACTCTGTTTCTTTGACCTCCGGGATTAGAGTAGAGCCAGGGACTCCTACCTGTTGTGTGATGCAGGCCTTCACCTGAGAGCAGGTTTGGGGCTAACCCTGTGCACAAGTGGCCATTTGTTTGGGGAACTGCACAGTGACCGCTATTCCTAGCAGACAAGAGGCCGTGTAATTCAGCCTCTTCTCTGGGAAAGATGGACCCCCAGCCACTTGCAATGGCGCTGAGGCTTCCCAGAACGGGGGAGGGGGCTGGAGCCACACCCTCTGTCGCCCTCCAGCTGTCCCTGGTATTTCCACTTGTGCCTTCTGGCAGATGATCATTCATCTTGAAAAGCTGTGACAGGGCTTCTGTGACAATTCTCTGAGCAGAAGATGGGGTCATACCTGGACTAGAGACCAAAGAACAGATTGGGCCTGAAGGACAGAGCCACATGTCTCAGCCTAAGTCTTCCCCCATTTCCTGAGTGGATTTACACAAGTCACGTTCCCTGAGCCTCACTTCTCCACGTGGACATGATGAATCCCATGTCATATTCAGAAATCTCAGAGGTCCCGTCCAGCTTGTAGTAGAGATACCAGGTCCCTGGTTTCTGTAAATGTTACCTTATAAGGAAAAAGGATCTTGGCTGATGTGATTGAGTTCAGGACCCTCACATGAGGAGGTTATCCTGGATTATTCAAGTGGGCCCTCAATCAACTCACAAATGTCTTTATAAGAGAAAGGCAGGGTGAGATTAGTCCCATGGAAGAGAAGGTGATGTGAAAATAGAGGCAGAGATTAGAGTGACGGTGGTCACAGAGGAATGCTTGCAGCTAGCAAAAGCTGGAAGTTGCCAGAAGGGATTCTTTCCTGCAGCCTCCAAAGGGAGTGTGGCCCTGCCAACACCTTGATTTCAGCCCAAAGGAACTGATGTGGAACTCTGGCTTCCAGAACTGTATGGAATAAATTTCTGTTGCTTTGAGCCCCCATGTTTGTAATTTGTCATGGCAAACATGGGAAATGACCACAGTGTTCTCTGAGTCCATTGTCTGTTACCCATTCTTGTTGCCCATCTGTCCAGCAAGGCTTGGAGTCTCACTTGGTGCGTGTTCAAAAGGAGAGCTTTCTTGAAGCCTGCAGGGAGGTGGTGTATTCCTTGGGTCTCAAGTTCTCTATTCCTTTCACCTGGCATGTGTGTCTGGGGTCAACCCCAACAAAATGCAACCTCCTCCCTCTACGACATTCAGTTTTTCGTCGCTGTCCTCATCGTTGTCTTATCGGAGAGTCAGTTTCCAACCAAGTGTCTTATGTTAGAAAAGACAGTTATTTAATGACCTCGAGATCATCGCTATGAGAGTAATGAAGACAGCATTGATTTTAGCACCAAGTATATTCATTCAATAAATGTTTCTTGAGCATTACTATGTGCCAGCACAGAGGCAAGAATAGGGAACATGTGACAATAGAAAAGATACTTATTCTTCTTATGAAGCTGGTGTTGTAGTGGGTCACACACAATAAAGCTTTTGCGTATGAGTATATAATCACACTTCAGTTGCAGCAAAATTCTCATTTTCCGAGATTTTCAGCAGAGCATCAGATCCGTGTTTCTGCTGGGTGAACTGCCTCATGGAATATTCTCTGGCTTGAACGTCTACAAGGGTCCTGGGAAACATTGCTAACACTGAGGACACCTCTTGGGGATAAGCAATACAGGGCTTGGGCCAGAAGAGGGTCCTCTTGTTTCTCTGAATTCCACCAGGTTATGCCTATGCTCGCCTTACCTCTCCAGTCACCTCCGAGCTTCGGGACTTGAGAAGACTCTTTTTTTTTTTTTTTAGATTTTTATTGGGGAATTAGGGGGATGGGAACAGCGCTGGGGAATTGGGGAAGGGGAACAGACAAGTTGCTGTCCTTTTGTTCTTCAGTCTAGTTGTGGAGGACGTTGCTTCACTGGCCCGAGTTGGAACCATCATTGCGCTCTTCCCGGGCGAGGCAGATCAGTCGCTGGCTTCTGGACGGCCGCTCACTGCGGCTGCTGGCCGCTCACGCTGGCTGCTGGCTACACATGGTAGCCCATGGCAACCCACTGCAGCAGGGGCTGCAGCCTACGCCGTAGCCAGTGACTCACGGCAGCTCAGCTCCAGGTTGAGCTGTTGTTCAGCATCTTAGCTATAGAGGGCAGTGTCACTGGCCCTCATATGTGGGATCCGAACCAGGGCCCTCTGGCATCCCAAGCCAGCTCTTAACCAACGCTCCACTCAGCTGGCCTGAGAAGACTCTTGAAGGACTGAAAGCTCTATGGGGGAGAACTAAGAATATCCTAATGGCCCTCCTTTGTTTAATTCTGTCCTTTTCATCACTTGTCCAGATCCCAAGAGCTTTCAAAAGAAAAAAAAAATAGCAGTAACACTACCATGATTTCCTGCCTCCAACACATTCTCTCTTAGAGCGGTGACTCAACTTCCTGTACTGAAAAGATGCCCCCCCGCCATTGGTAGCTCAAGTTGAAACCCGAGTCCTTTCTGATGTCTGTTTTCCCTTAATACCCCACTTCTAGGCATCCTAAATCATTCAAAATAGATCCAGGATTCTACTACTACTTTCTACTTCTTCACCTCTTCCTTTGTCTAAGGCAGCATCACTTCCTGTTTTGACTGCCATGCAGTATTCTGACTCCTCTCACTGTCCTACTCTGACCTCCCTACCCCAATCTATTCTCCACCTAGTGACCAGAGTGATTCTTTTAAACACTGAGATCATGCCCAAGTCATCCCTTGCTCAAAACATTCCATATTCAGAATAAATTTCAGTCTTCACCAGGGCTAGGAGGCCCCGTATGATCTGGCCCCTGCCTTCTCTCACACCTCATTCCCTGTCATTCTCTTGTCTTGCCTACTCTGCCCTAGAGACACCAGCCTTCCTGCCATTATTATAATTGCCTTGACACTTCTATAAGTTGGGGTTACCTCTTCTGAGAGGCCTTTTCTAACCACTGAAACTCCAATAGCTCCATCCTTCCAGTAGGGGTCCCTGTCTGTCCCTATGTATCAGTTTATTTGTATATTGTCTGCCTCTCAAACTAAATGATAAACTCTGAAGACAGCAGGCATTACTTGTCTCCATAGCCCCAGCACCCACAACAGTGTCAGGCATTTAATGGTACTTCAATAAACACTTGATAAAGAGAAGAAGGAATGGCCAGGAGTACAATCCATGTGAGGACCTTTAAGCGTCTTTTCAGCTCCAAGAATCTATGAGTCTATGAATGGCCCAGCAGCCTGGGTCACCTAAATACCATTTCAAACCAGCTTAGGAGATCAGGAAATTTAGTTGGTGCTTCTTTTTTTTTGAGATCGAGTTACTTTTTCCCTCCTTGGCGCCTCCCTGTGTAGGTAACTGACTGCCGAGCACCTTGAGTTAACTTAGGACATAGTAAGTGCTCAATAAATATTTGTTGGCTTAATGGGTTGTTATGATCAACAACAAAAAGTAACAATATAAATTTCAAAAAAAAAAAAAGATGTGATTGATGATTGACTACTTACCGCTTACTGATACCTGCATCAAAAGCAGCATCACACTTATTTGGACACTTTTATTTTGTGGTCAGCAGGAGGGGGTAGGGATAGGAGATTGATGGGACACTTGCTCCTGGAAATTATCTAATTATGGTAAAGATTTTTCAGAACCACAGACTTGGGTGGAACTGTAGAAACCATCCAAGGAAGATAGTGAATCAATTTTGTCCCTATGATTCCCAGTGTACCCCTTAACCTTCTGGCCACTGGGTTTCTTTCTGGCAGAGGTAGACCATTCATTTTCTGAAGTGTTTATGCCGCTATACCCAAAGTCTGACCATTGACCACACGTAGTTAATTGCCTGTGTGTATTCTCCATCAATTGAAATAAAAGATCTGCAGGTGGGATGCCTGGGGGTGTTGGGGGCAAGAGCCCAGGGCAGGTCCATGAGTGTTGAACAAGAATCATTCTCTTTATTTCTTGCACTAAACTCTCACAATGGAAGTATGTTTATTTTAAGGCAAGCACATAAAGGGCAGAATTTGGGAATTAGATGGAAACAACAAGGGAAGCATGCAGGCCTTCTGGGGAAAGGAAGGGGCTGAAAGGAAGCCATGCCAGGCTGCCCAGGGTCCAGGGTGTCTGCACACTGGGGCACTCACACCCGAAGGCCCCTTGTCTTGCAGCCTTCAGATGGCCTCGCTCACCATGCTCCTCTCACCCCCAGCCCTGCTGGAACCCCTGCCTTAGGCCAGTGATCAGGATGACGGCATAGCTCCCACCAGCTGGAAATGGAACCAGCCCACCACTGGGGTGCAGCAGGGGAGTTGGTTGCTGCAGATTAAAACTGGAACTAGAAATCCGTCTTCCCGGAAACATTATTATAACCTGGGCTGAACGCCGTTGGTGTTTCTCTGTAATCACAGCTTTTCAACTGGGTTGTCAGTGACATGGGCTCCTGTGGGCCAGCCTCAGAGCCCATCGCCCAACCAAGTGTGTCATTTGTATGGACACTTGTAATCTGTGACCAAATACCCAGGTTAAATTTTTTGCTGTTTTATTTAACCCAATTGTCGGTCATTTGGGGGATGGCCAATATTAAATAAAAATTGAGCTTTTAAAAAAATGTTTTGAAATTTGTGGATTTTTTTTCATCCACATTATCTATCTGGCCAGCCAGAAAAAATGGAGGAGCCTGTGTTCTAAGGGATCTGTGTTTAGATGGAAACTTCTGTTAGGACAGGATGAGCCAAGGGTAAGATGGAAATCCTTCTCCGGCCCTTGTTTATTTGCTTTTCCTTTGTTTTCTTAAACCGTACAGGGCGAGCCCTGCTGAGACTGACTGACAAGAAGCTTGAGCGGATGGGGATTGCCCAGGAGAACCTCCGGCAGCACATCTTACAGCAGGTGCTGCAGCTGAAGGTGCGGGAAGAAGTCAGAAACCTCCAGTTGCTCACACAAGGTACCCTGCTGTTTGCCTGCGGGTGGATGGAAGGGGAGGCTAGGGGGATGACACGCTTATCGGCATGATGAAGGGGAGCCGGGAGAAACTGTGATGGGTTTTTTTTTTTTTTGCAACATTTCCTTCATTTAAAAAAAGTATATAGATGTAAAGGCCACTTCCCTCCTAAAACTCATTTTCATAGCTCACTATGGAGAAGGATGCACAGATAAGTAATAGATGGGTGAATAGAATTGTCTGAACTAATTTCAATGTCATCACATATGGCTATGTAGGTTGTGCACTGCACAACCCCAGAGGAGGACCAGCCACATACATCAGGATACAACTGCACCCCTTAGTGTTCTGCAGTGTGCAGTCTGTACAACTGCACAGTGCAGCCCAAGCTCTTAGTCTGACTACCGACTCTGAGGGGGCCTTGGAATTTGAGTGATTCCACAGTTCCTATGACCAGTGATGTAAGTGGGATGTTTGTTGTGTTTGTTTTTCACTGACTAATGGGAGAAAAAACATTTTAGAGATATTTGTCTGTATGTATATATGTATACATACATGCGCACGTGCACACACACTGTAGAGTTTGTGAGAACCCTAGTTAGACTTTTGAAAATAGGACCATTTAAAAAAAATAGACTACAGGGAATTGAAGACTGGGATGTTAAGACCATATCATTCTAAGTAAGAATCATTAGTAACTTCAGTATGATGAGAGCACTTAAGGGTCCTGTAACTGGAGGTGACAACATAAAGCTGGAATATTAAGTAAACCATAAGTTACGCTACATGGAACTTGTATGTCTACGTAAGGTTTGCTGTCAACCTCCATTGGCTAGAACCTGTTAATTTATTTTAATGCCCACTGTACATCGTTTTAAATGAAAGATGATAAAATATGTATTTTTGAGAGCCTTGGGTCTTTTTCAATCTGTAGAATACTGCAACTGCATGCATACTGACATTGGAGAAATCTGGGTCAGCCAAGTTTCATGTTATTGCGTTTAGATTAACCCAGTAATTGTCCATTTGCCTAAGGTACTGCCTGAAAGACGGCTGCTCCGGAAGGATAAATATAGATTTCAAGTGATATGAAAATAGTACTGTTTATTTGTTATGCCTTATTTGCACTTGTCTCCTGAGACTTCCAATTGGAAATTTATAGGTACGGGTACAGTGAGTGATTTAAATTTGAATTTGACATATTGATATACGTTTAAGTTTCTTTTAAGAAAGGAGTAGAAAGTCAAAGATTTATTACAAGAAAGTTCAACACAGTGCTATTTATAAAACTGAAAGATTAGAAACAACCCAGAGGTTCAGGAATATGGAAAGACTTAAATAGTTCTGCTTAAAATCATAAGATCCAGTATAGTGCAGTCATTAACATTAAATCTTCAAAGAGTATATAATAAAGTACTCAGGAAGTAATCACAAGTGTGGGGGAAAGGCCATGTATAAAATTTTATTTATAATGAGCCCAATTTTGTAAAAAAAAAAAAATCATATTTTTATATGCACGTAGAAAAGGGGCTGCAAATGAATATGCCAGTATTTTGATAATGGTTTTCTCTGGGTGGTAGGATTGTGGGTGATTTTAATTTTTTTTTTTATATATTTCTCTATTTTCCAAATCTTCCAGTATAAATCCACACTGTGGTTATAACCAGAAAATACACACACACACACACACACACACACACACACACACACACACAGTTTTTAAGCTTCAATCACAAGCATCGCTCCGCCAGATCATATTGAGTGTTTGAGGTTTCCTCCACACCTTTGTTTTCCTCCTGTGACGATATATAAAAAAAAAAAATGAGACCTAAATTTATCACGTGTGCCTTAGACTATTTTTTTATCTCTGCTACTGTCAGCCTGCAGTGTGTTTGCTTTGCAAAATCATTTTCTACAGCTTTCATTGCCCTAGATGCATAATATATAAGATTTTTCCTGAGATAGCCCGCAAGTCTATTAAGCTAAATATGTGTTTGTGTTCTGGGAAGGTAACGCTTAGTTCAGCCTTCTCAATTGTCACTTTCTTTAGCTTTGAAAAGCTGTGCATTTCGAATTCTTTCATTCCATTCCCTTCAGACGAGGTCATGTTCTCCAGCTCTTCGATATTTTGTCTGCACTCATATTACCTTTTTCTTTTATTGCTTGTCCTTTACATGTTAATGTACAAACTCATTTTATGTCAGGCAGCCTTTAGAAAATCTATAGCCTTGTTGAAAAGATGGTTTCTTTGTAAAACATAAAACAAAAATTGGCAGGTTGTTGTCGTTTTTGTTATGTTTTGTTTTGGGGTTTTTTTTTTGACTGATAATAGAAGTTCTAAAGACAGTGAGGGTTGCCTTAAAATATTTTAGGTCATCGTTTGCTATAGTCAGAATTGAGGATGGAAACTAGACTTTTGGTGGTGAGTATGCTATACTGTATACAGATATTGAATTATAAGGTTGTATACCTGACACTTATATAACGTTATACACCAATGTTACCTCAATTTAAAAAAAAATAAAGAAAAAAACTTACCCATTAACAGTCATTCCCCATTTCCTCCCAATGTACCTCAACCACTAAGCCTTGGAAATCTCTAATATTTCTATTTGCCTAATCAGAACATTTCCCATAAATGGAATCATTCAATATGTGGCCTTTTGCGATTGGTTACTTTCATTTACAATAATGTTTTTCAAGTTCACTCATGTTGTAAACATGTGTCAGCATTTCATTTCTTTTTATTGCCAAATAATTTTCCATGATATGAGTGTAAAATTTTATTTATCCATGCATCACTTGATGGACATTTGCATTGTTTCTGACCCTTGGCTATTAATCAATATTGCTATTTTCAACATCTGTACAAGTTTTTATTTGAACCTGTTTTCATTTCTCTTGGGTGTACACCTAGGAGTGGAATTGCTGAGTCATATGATAACTCCATGTGTAACCATTTGAGGAGGGGTCCGAATGTTTTCCAAAGCGGCTGTACCATTTGACATTCCCATAAGCAATGTATGACGGTTCCAGTTTCTCCACATCCTTGCCAACATTTGTGAATGTCTTTTTTATTATAACCATTCTAATATGTGTGAGGTGGTATCTCATTGTGATTTTGATTTGCATTTCACTAATGTGATGTTATTGAGCACACTTTCATGTGCTTAATTATCATTTATGTATGTTCTTTGGAAAACCATGTATTCAAATCTTTTGCTCATTCTTTAATTGGGTTATTTGTTTTTTTCCAAGCTTTATTTTTGACCCACCAGCTTCCATCATGCTTGATTACTCACTTCACTTACAAGCTCTAGAGCTAAATATTTGGTTGACATTTCCAAAGAGGAGCCCCACCCTCAAAGGATGAAGTCTTTCAAACAACCTGCCACAAACTTGAAAATCAATTCCAAAATGAAACAAGTGAATGGACTCTAAAGATTTTTTTTTCCCTCAAGGAAACAATATTCTTTTGGATGTAGGAATTGAACACATACACATTAAATCAGTTGCATCAGTTTGTAATCAGACCTTCAAATTCGCTATGGCCCCTCTGAAAGCTCATTCTACCATGTTTCTAGAGGAAATAAAAGAATAGCTAATTAAGCCTACTTTCCCAACTTTTGATAGCTGTTTTAAAACTTGTCTTAAGCTTTTCATTATACACCAGCCATTTTCACCCAGTTCTCCGGGAGCCTCAGAATAGTAATGGGACCCAGATGGTCAGAAATGGACTGGGGGAGCCGGTCCTCGCCACTGTGAGTTATCCAAGCACAAGTGAAACGAAGTGTTTGCCCTCCTTTTAGTCGCTCTCCTTTTTCTGGATGCTGACCAAAAGACAAGAACTATAAGGCGTTTTTTAAATGTGTATGGTGGATGCATAGTCAATACAGAGGGTGCCAAAAAAAAATGTATGCACATTTGAAGAAAGGAAAACTGTATTAAAATTGTAATCCTCAATATATACCGATAACAAAAGGTGAACACAAATCATGTTTGACTTCTGCAATTTCATGAGGTGCTCAACGTGGTTACCATCAGCGTCCAGACACTTCTGATGATGGCAAACGACTGCTTGTGCAACGTTGACCGAAGTGTCCGCTTATATACATTTTTTTGGCACCCCCAGTATATCAGTTAATAGGCACTATCAGTGAATCATGACAGAAATTCCTGAAACAGCACCTCATCTAAAACCAGAGCAGTCCGTCAGCTGCAAACCTGGCCTCCGATTTCCCTGCCTTTATTCACAGTGGCCCTGTAACTACCTGACATTTGCAAGCAACATAATCAATGTTTGGCCTTGCTTTAACGGCTTTGTCTCTGATGTCTTTGAAGGGGTTCCCTGCTCTGTGCACTCTTTGGTCTTCTGTGTCCCATCCATGGAGCAGCGATGATGTCGACCTTGTGGGCTTGTCTGCCTGCATGTTCTTGTAGGAAACTCTGCCCTGTTATGGCACCTCCAGGTGCCTCTTAAGAAACGCAGCGCAGAGCCAGAAGTGTCATTCGTATACTTTCCTTTTGCTTGATTCACAATAGACAGGGGGGAAAGGTGCCTTATATAACACAAAGCTGTGGTGCAAACTATTTTGGGATCCTTCAAATGAATCCATAACCAAGCTTATGAAGGGCATCCTTAGCATTTTATTAATGGACAGTATTTCTAGAAAGGAAAACACCCCAGGGATACTGGAAGCTTTTCTCATATAACTAATGAGTATTAAGTGCTTACTATATACAGAGCCCTGCATTAATTGTCACATCAACTCCTGACAGTTACCCTACTAAAGTCGGTACTGCTGTTGGCCCCAATTTTCTTATGGGGAAACTGAGGATGGAGAATTTAAGTACTGGGTTGTCAGAAAAGTCATGACGCCTTTTTGCAATGAAAAACATAGAAAAAATACATCATGGCTTTTCCGACAACCCAATAATAGACACAAAGGCAGACAAGTAAAAAGCGTAGTACAGGTCGTCTGACTCCATAGCAAACTTGTATC